ATCTATTCTATGATTCTATGATTCTATTATTGCTTCCTAGTAATTTGAATTTGTAATGTTCTCTTTTTGCAGGGAAAGCCAGGATCTCCTGGGTCCCCAGGGATGCCAGGGGAACCTGTAAGTACCAGTTTGAGTTCTGGACTTTTATGTTAATACACAGATATTTCAAACATTGAATACAAGATTTTACATGCAGATTTGTATGTGTATTTTCTTTTTCTTTAGGGTGAAAGAGGACCTATAGGAGATATAGGCTTCCCTGGCCCAGAAGGGCCACAAGGAAAACCAGTAAGCAATTTTATACTGAATATTTATGTTCATTGCAAAAGGATGTGTCGTAGTTTATCCAAAGTTACAAAAGAAATGAGATTACATCCTGCTTTGTGTTAAGCTAAGTAACATATGAAGAACTCTTAGAGCTACAGTGCTCAATATTAACCATTCAGTCAAGAATTCCTGGTATTGCGATGTGTTAATAGTTAATGGTACTGAGATGTTGCCTTTAAAGGTTTTATGAGGGTCCTTTGGATCCTGCTGACATAAAGGATTCTCTCATATTTTTTCAGAAGGAGAATATTAACCCAGACACTCAACCTAGTCTATAAAGGACGGAGTGACAAAATACATTCGGTTTCAGTTTAGATAGAGAAGCGTGTGCTTCATAACTCTGAACTCTTCTGTATACAGATGATGCGACACTGCAGCTGAAGCACTTAGGATATGTCTAATCTGACCTCTTTATTTAATAAAACTGTGACAGCAGTGTAGTCAGCACTGTCTGAGCTGATTTAAAACCACCTAGTTTATATTCTAGAATTGGTTCAGTTAGGACAGCGCAGAACTCTTTACCTCCCTGAAAGCCTGATGTTTTTGGGGACAAACATGGGAAGCAGACCGTTTCACTTTGCCAGCATGTCTCCATGTCACGCTTCTGTCTTGAAGGAAAAGACTATTTCTGTAACTTCAGCAGCAAACAGGTCCAAGGTGCCCAATCTGTGCAAAACTCCACTTTGCAGTATGAGAGGGAAGGAAATATTCCTGACATCTTTGCTCATGCAAGGCATTCTTTCTCACTCAGTGAAATAGCAGTGAGTTTGCTGCGTGTACAGATCCATGTATATCCTAGTAAGTTAAACCCTGCCAGAGCATTTTTCCTGCAAATACAGAAGGGTAATAGGGCAACCGGGCTAATATCTAAAATAAGATAAGTCTCCTCTGTGGTTGTATAATCACTTTTCCAATCGCCAGCTAGGACTGGAAAAGTGCATGCACAGGTCCATATTCCACATTCGCAGAATTTCTGTATAACTTGTCATTTAAAGTTGTGTGCTCACTAGAGTTAATGCACATCTTGATGCCAAAGATATTTTTTTTTGCTCTGCTCTCAGCTCAGATTTAATGTGCTTGCAGTTCAGTATCTCCCTGAGCTCTATTATTTCACAGCTCAAGACTATTTGTGAGTATTTCTGTATTGTAGCCACACAAACTGCTGCCTCTGCAGCTTCAGAATAGGTACTGACACCAGCACTAAACATTGAGCTTTACCCTTTATATTTTTAAAATGCATATGCATAAGCATATCTATTAAAAAATTGTTGTGCTTTCTTTTTTTAATAGGGAATCAATGGAAAAGATGGATTGCCAGGTCCTCCGGTAGGAAAACATGCTTTTACATACTAGTCTATTTTATTATTCACAGATACCATAGCTGTTAATCTTAGGCAGTTGTTTTCAGTTCTACTAACAGATGAATATATAATGAAGCCTTTAAGTTATACATTTATCTTTTTTCAAAAACAATTTCTCAGGGTGCTGTGGGGAGACCAGGAGACAGAGGACCGAAAGGAGAACGTGTAAGTCCCTTGCTTTAATAACTGTTTTTCCTTTTTACTGAGCATCTAAGCACCTCATCAGCCCATATTTTACAGGCCAAACCCAGAAATTAATTCTTTATGAACATCAGGCAGTCTCTTAGACAACTAAGAGGTTTAGTCCTAGACGCCACTTTAAGGAATTAGAATTGAGTTGGCTTGTGTGTTTAGAGAAGAAATACTTTTATAGACTTTCTAACACAGCTGGCATGGACAGTGTAAATTGATCAACATATTGAAAAATAGAAGGTAGCTAATCCTGTTTTGATACTGTCAGACTTTGCAAGAGCTATAAATCTTGTCCCATCATCATCCCTGTGATCTGTGTATGTCACAAACACAAATCATGTTTTATATAAAACAAGCTTGTTACACTTAGGCGGGAGGAATGCCAGTGCAGTACCTTACTGCTTCCCACAATGTTTAGACATTAGTTCTGTTCATGGTAGCAAGATCATGATGGACAGGAATCATTATAGGAGATGAGAGATTATCTTTATTTTGCTAGAGAAAGAAAATCCTAGCGCATACTCTGCTCCTGCTAGAGCATTGCTAAAGCCCTGGTGACCTAATCCAGTTGATACCATATTTATTTGATGAATCAGGAAAACACCTCTCTATGTAATCTGGAAAAGGAAATGCTGCTTTATGACACTGAGGAGATACAAGGTTTTAACCATTATTACGATAATTGTCCCTTACTAAAAATAAGTTTACAATGTTCTGTTTCTGCCTTTAAGGACACAAATAAAATGTAGGAACCTTCTTAGTGTACCACCTACTTGAGCATTACACCACTCAGCCTTGACCTTCTCGGTGTCAACCTATCTGAATGCCCTGCAAATAGTACTGTACACATACAACCAGAGGAGGAGACTGGACCTGTAAGTGCACGAGCTTGAAACATACTGACAGGGAGGAGGATGTTGAAAAATTCTGTGAGAGACAGATACACAGTCTTGGCTTGTTTCCTCAGAGTGAAACTTGGGAAGCTTCAGGGTAGGAGAAGAGGGTGCATTGCTTCCAGTCTCATCAGTTACAAAGTACATACATACACACATGTCCATGTAGCTATAGATGTAAATATGGATATAGGCTTGCTCTCAGAGAGGTCACAGATGCCTGAGTCTGCTCTCACTTCTGGGATTGCTGGCAAACATATCACAACCTAGCTTTCTTTGTACAGAGTTAAATATATATATATATGTGTGTGTGTGTATATATATATATATATATAAGAAATATATAGATACATGCTAAAAAATAAATCCATTTCCAGAAGTATTTTTGTCTCAAGTGAAAATCAAAACCTCTCGCAACCTCTTAAAACAGGAAAGTTATAAATACGCCCATTGCAGTATCTGAACACAGTTTTCAGAAAACTGTCAGTTGTTCCTTACAATTCTGCAGGAAAATAAAAGGTTTGTTGATAACAAGGGGAGATCTGCCTCAGAAATAACTATGAGATACACAGCAGAAGTCTGCATCTCGGATAAGAGATGAGTAGAGGAGCTGGAGCAGAGTTTTTTGTTATTTTGGTGGGGTTTTTGTTTCCCTCTGGACCTGGTATTACAGGCCTGTTTCTATGAGAGAGCTTGCCCTGATTACAGAAAATAACACAAAGTCAAGTTTTTCTTGCAGCTGTTATTATTACTTCTGTACAGCGTACTCCTTCAGTTTGAGACCAGCTGTTGCAGTTATACAAAAGAGAAACATCAAAATTGGAAGGGCAGAACAAAACTCCTGAGGTTTTTATGTCTAATATAAGTATATCCTTGTAGAATCCATTTTAAGAAGGAAGAGGTTACCTGGGCTGAAATAATCTTATAATCCTTTGAGTGAGTAAACACTACTGTTACTACGTTATAAACTGAGTGACAAACCAGTTGAAAACATGTGATTTATACCAATCAGAAATATGCCTTTCTAGTCATTTCAACAACAGATTAAAGTCCTGGTGGCTGGCTCATTTATTGCTATTATTCACATACCTTGATCACAGACTGGGAGCCTGGTGGACTAGAGCATGTAGAAACCCAGGCAAAACAATTGCTCCTTCTGTAGTAATTTAATACAAGATTAAATGCAAGAGATAGGAGAACACTAGAAAGGACCGAATAAATCAACACAGTAGGTGGAGACTGTGAAACATAAATGTCCTGCTCTGGTTTTTGTACAATTCATAGTGAAGGAGAGTTTAAAGAGGAATCTGAAGGAAGATACAACCTATTTTTATGATTTTTTACAAGGAGCTTCTTCCAAACACAAGGAAAACACTGGAGTCAGTTTAAAAAAGCTTGTTTGACAAGTGACTGGAGTATTTGATCTGCCTCGTACATGTTGGCAGTCTGTAAAATGGGAATTGTTCAGAAGAAAAGCAGTTCCAGGATTAGCTTCACTTAGTGCCAGAGCACTATAGTCTTATAAAAACCTGCATTTTTGTTTATTTCTAGTCAAATAGCTATCCATGCCTACCCTGTAGGGTTATAAACCTGAGAAATTATATATGTATATATTTATGCAATAAATACATTTTTATTGAAGGTTTCTTGTAAGTATAGTACCCTTCAGACTCCAATTGGAAATGCATTTATGGTGTCAGCTAATTCAATGAAACCTTACAAGTCACAGTGGTCTTTGTAGAGTGAAGCTTAGTTATAGTCAGTAATTAACTCTAACTCAGTGGGAATCATACAGATTGGAGGACAGGTAGGTGAAAAAATGTACAACCTCCTAGTTGCATCCTTACCTTGCTTTCTTTTTAAATCTTTACATGTCATGTAACTGTGACTCAAGAATATAACTACACTTCTATCGGTTTATCAGTCAATGATTTCAGATCTGAATACAGTTTACCAGCACTTGCTGTAGATTAAGAATGCAATTAATTCCATTCATTCACCCTTCATAAATGTAGATTCTGGATTTATCTAGTAATTATGTAGTCAATTCTTGGTGCTCTTTGCCTGGTGGAGCCTAACATCAGCTTAAGTGATGCAGCAAGGGCAGTCAGTGACCCTTAAGAACTGCCAGCTGTTCATTAATGATCTGAACGTGTGACTTGCAGCACTCTGCTCCACTGCTGTACTAATAGCTAATATATTAAGTCACTCAAAAAGATTTCATTCCTCACAAATAAAAATAATGTAAATGCTATCTCAGCCACAATGGAAGCTGTTGCTGGCCAGAACAATGACTTATTTTGTTTGCAAGGAATTCACTCATTATAAATGGATTTGTGTATTTGTTGTTTCTTTGACTGACAGAAATTTTGTGTACATGCAGAAATAAAATATTAGGCTTCTAGGAAAAGTTACATGAAAAAGCCTGATGCCTTGTACCTTTGGGAATTTGAGCACCTAAATTCTACCTATGCCATATTTGACATTTCCGAATCCTTGTATAAGGGCTATAAACTTTCTGCACCCAAGTTCTGTCCTTGAACAGTGGGTTACAGAGTCAAGCTATTTTTTTGTCATTGACTTCAACATTTAAAGTGTGAGAAAACAAAACATTACTTGCTGTGTTTTCAGAGATAAGGATTAACCTGTAAAATCAGCTTCCCTGCATGACTGATAAAATCTGTTTCTGAACAGGGAAGAATTTTCTCTTTAGCATTCTTGGGTGACTTTTCCTAGTTTGTTCCAGTGTGTGCAATGGTTTTCTTTCTGCTTTTGTTTTACCCAGGGAGATCAGGGTATTCCAGGGGACAAAGGTCCACAAGGTGAACGGGGGAAACCTGGCCCATCAGGAGAAAAGGGGGATGTAGGTCCTATTGGGCCACCAGGAGACAGAGGCTACCCAGGATCACCAGGTCATCAAGGTCCCCCAGGTGCACCAGGACCCCCAGGGTTTCCGGTAAGTAAGTACAGGTTTTCCTTGGTTGCTTGTGAATTCAGACAGCGTGAAGGTAACGTGCTGAGCAGTGGAAATTCAACCAAGCAATACTACAGTATCAGAAAAACTAAGATATCTCTGAGATAATTTCAATGTTCAGTTAAGAGCTGGAAAGAATATACCCAAGTGATCAACCAGGGGTTTGGGGTTTTTTTTTTTTAAATATGTGCTATGGATAAACTTTAATCATTTATTTCTTTAGCTCCTGACAAATCAATATGGCTACTCAATACTGTTAGTTTTCAAGGTTTTCATAATCTTAAGAGCTAAAGTGTAAGTCTTTGCAACTGAAAAAGAAAAGGAGGTGGGCAAAAATGATTCTCAATATAAGAGAAATCAGCATTTAAAAGGACAATGAAATGTTGCCTGTCAGCTGTAGATATCTTGGTTTGTCTCTGTGTGCACACAGGCACATATCCATGTTATGGGTTCTTTTTACCCTCAGTCAGATAGGAGAAAGCTCTAAAAACCTTTTCCAGTGAAGTTATTGGTCCTGTGATGCAGTTTTAATTAGCCAGCTGTGCAGTTTGTCCCTAGAGGGGGCTAGAAGTTGGCAAATGCTATGCAGAAGGCAAGTAAAGCATAACAGTGTCCTTACTGTCTTATGCAAATTAATTTGCATACACATAACATGCTGGTCATGTTGACAGTTGGGAGTGCCTCTTCCACTTCATGGTATTAGTGGTCTTTATAGTACTATGATGTATTTACAATAACGTGGCCTTTGCAGTTAAGTAAATAACACGAATATATTGAAATATTTAAGTTTTGGTGAAATCTTTACATCTTTACATTTTTAATGCTAATTTTAGCGCTTTTTTTTTGTGGCATCACAAAGTGCCCTCTGTATGTTTCTTCTGATACATATCACCTTTTTTTTCACCAGGCTGATACAGTTGCACTTGAAGAAATAAAAATATATATCAAACAAGAGGTTCTTAAGGTTTTTGAAGGTAAGAAAATGAGATGTTATGTAACTAAGCATATATCTTAAGTTCTGCTCTAAATGTTTTGCATCCCTACAGCCTTTATATACATTTCTTTACTTGTCATCTGACTTATATTGTACTTAGCTACAGTATGAAGGCAGCTGCTATGTTTAACTCTTGTTTAAGTTGACTAAATATAATTATGTTCAAACAATTATAAATTATATTATCTGTTAACCAGAGTATTTTCTTATGTAAAAGATTAGCATTAAAAGGGGATTTGCTCCACAACATAATAGCAAACATACATATATATCATTATAGACACATACATATGTATGTACACATACATGTATCATATATTATTGCAGATACATATGTATCTACAACGTATCATTATGTCATTGAAGATTCATTAAAGAGGGGACAATAGAAATATTTTGGACACTTGTTGGATGACTGAGTGAGAGTAAGGCTTGACAGCTTTCAGTCACGCAGGTCCAAACTGCTGTGCATTTTCAGCAAACATCCCTGCTGAGATTGACAGCTCCCTTGCAAACCACCATCTTCTGGCATGGTTTTAAGCAAGTACCAATTCAGCCAAGGCCTTTGTACTATGGAAGCTTTCTTAGGTGTGTCCTTACTCTGAGAAGAAAATCTTTTTCTTCCCCAGTGTTTTCTTAGTCAGGGTTGAAAAGCTGTGACTCAGGTAGGTGTCTGAAACAAGCTTCTGCTCGAACACCTATTAACAGTAGCTTCTCTTCCATTGCAGAATGCATTTCTTGTGTCTGCAGTATGCTTAGCCGTTTTGTCATTAATATTTGTGGATACAAAACCTTTATCCTTTAGGGATGAAAGAAATCATATAAAGCTTGAGGCAGTTTTTCACTTCATAACAAGGCTATCATTTTGTGTATTTTCACCCCTCTCCAGACTGCTACCCATTAGGAGTTCAACTTGCTATGTATTTCAAGAGCAATTTGTTGGCTGAAGTTACCTCCTTTTCCCATTCAAATGGAATGGTAACAAGTATTTAGTCTGTTCATAAAAAGAAAGTATTAAGAGGTGTCCTCCCTACAGGGGATATTGGTTTTTGTCTTTATAGCTATTGCATTTTCTACACCTCACCGGTGTTCCCGTGGATGTTCTATTTTTGGCTTTGTTTCACTTTGCCTATTTTCTATCACCTTGCTTATTTTTTGTTTGATTTTTTTGCTTAAATCTCAAAACTCCACCGCAGTAAAAACCTGCTAAATTGTGAAATCCTTAGTTATGTTTTTTAATCCAATATAAATGAGACTGATTCAAGGTTAGTACCTATTTTGTCTACCTCTCTAAGGAACACTGAAATGTTACCAAGTGGACTTTATTCCACCAGCATGAGCAGTTCATGCTGAAATCTCTGCAATTAATAATGTTTACTGAGTACTTACAGGTTTTTTCACAACTGTTTGCAGGATTTCAGCACGTTCCAAGAACTGTTCACAGGATTTAAGCTCTACTTTGCAACTTATGAGTTACAAACATATAAGGTAGTCTTTCATAGGAGTGTTAAGTACTAATTGTTCTGTGTTCATGTATTTTAAATACTTCCATGAACAGGAGTCAGAAGTCATTTAAAATATTGTAGGACATTAGTAAAAGAAAGTAGCAATAGAATCTTTAGTACAAACTCGTTCAGATTATTTGAAAGGGTAAGAACTCAAACATGAGACTGAGTTGGAACTAAAGGCCTCGGTACTTACAGGAGCATTTAATACCTTGTCATTTAGAAGGATTAAACACTTTACTTTCAGAACCTTACTTTAGCTTAGGCTTTGGGATTTATTTATTTTCCCATATTTTGCTAGCAGATTTCTTACCTGCTTTTTCTTATGTCCTTCGTTAATGAAGAAAGGATGGCTCAGTTTGTATCCCAGCTGAAGCTGCCTGCTGCAATGCTTGCTTCCCAAGCTCATGGAAAACCAGGGCCCCCAGGAAAAGATGGGTTACCAGGGCCACCAGGAAAGGACGGTTTGCCAGGGCCACCAGGAGAACGTGGAATTCAAGGTAGGAATCCCAAAAAATGTTTCCATGGATTGTATCTTGAAATCTTTATACACTTGCTAATGCTTATTAAATAAGACAGGATTACCTATCTAGCTTCCTAATGATTAACTTTTAAAACTGTACTTATGTTTTTCCAGACTAGATCTAAATATTAACCCATAGTAAATGTGTGGATTTTACTGATTAAAAACTCCTAATGAGTGCATTTTATTCTAATAAGTGATAAGGTTAATTACTGACAGATATATAAAGCTCACAGGTGTCTAGACTTCTGTAGAAGTTATTTTTTTCTCCAAAAGACTTTAACAAGGAAGACAAACTATGCAAGCACTCTAATGTAACTATTTAGATCCTGTTTCATATTGAGATACCATTTTATTTAAGAAACAAAATTTGATCTCCAAGTCTGAGTGCTCTCAGCTCTGATCCTGAGACAACACAGAGGAGGAAAAACTGAAGGCAAATATTCTTTAAGAAGCAGTGAAAACGGAAATATTACCACATTAATTCTTCTTACAGTGAAGTAATCTATTTTCACAAATCAGTTTCAGAGTAATCAGCTTTTCACTATACCCCAAACAGTAATTTGTACACTGCAATGCATTTGGACAGTATAGGACTCTTGTTTCACTGAACTGTCTTTCACTGCAAAATTATCTTCAAGGGATCCAGGCTCATTGTAACTGTGCCCTACTGTAGAGTCAGCCTCTCGGAGATTAAAAGGAAGAGGAGAATAGAATAAAAGGAAAAAATAATTTATCGATTAATAGTGTTTTGTGGGTGGGTAATATGTAATTTGCAGTTTATCTGTAGGTAGTTCTTTATTATCTTTTGTTAGTTTGGTCTGCTCTGGAGTCAGAGCAAGTCAGACTGGAATGAAGAACATGAGAGCAAAGCTGAAGATGTGTGGATCCTAAAGCTATCAGAAGAATAAAGACTTACTAACATTGATAAGCGCAAACTCCTGACAGAAGCTTGAAAAATGTGATGAGCTCAGAATGAGAAGAACAAGAATAAAGGATCAAGGAAAACAATAAAAGGCTTAGAATCTTACAACACTGACTTCATCATTACCTAAATATTCAGATAACTGTAAACAGTTGACTTCAATGTCAGTGCCAGATTGTTCAATGATGATGTATGTGATGGAGAGTCTCAGATGCTTCTGGGAAGTGGAATGTTGTACTAGGCTTCATTTCCAGCTAGCGAGCATCAAGAGTAAAGATGATAGCTATGCTTGAAAAAAAAAATAAAGCTGCTTTTTCATGCCTTATGCTTAAGTAAAAGTAGTGCCCCATGTACACAGAATTTCCATTTATTTTACTGATATGCTCAATACTCGTTATTGATTAGTAAAAGGTAAGCTAAGTGAGAAGCATTTACTTCTCTGATACATCAAAAGATATATGAAATTATACTTCCAATGAAAGAAAACCAAAAATTTGTCTTGCCTTCTTTTCAACTCTGAGTAAGAGTCCTGTGAGAGAAGCACACTTACAAATACCCTTCATGCCTTTCCCAGTTGTGCCTGTGCGTGTTACTGTCTCTGAGCAGATTGAAAAGTATCTTTACATATTCCAGTTTGTTTTCAGCCATAAAAGGCATAGCAGAGAAGACTTCTTGGAGAAGCACGTTACATGCATGTGTGGCTGAGATCATCAAGGTAGCATGCTGTGTACCCATATGCCCAAGTCACAATACGCATTCGATATTGACTGACAGATATTCCCTATAATATTTCTGGGTGTAGCCCAGATTGCCCAGCCCAGGGTTTTGCTGTGTGCAGTAATACATTTCTGGGCTGGCAGAATGAAACAATCACTTGTCCCCTACAACCAGTGAAAAGTAGTAGATACTTCTTGAGAACAATAACCAGGACCTCTACAAATACCTCCAGAGCCTGTTTGTGATGCTGCAAGACTGAGCAGAGAGCCTGCTCGAGCCAGCCAGCGGGAAGGGCAGGTGTCACTGTGTGTCCAAGGAGCTGCTTAACTTAACTTCCAGCTTCACAGGGGCCCCTCTGTATTCCTTGAGTGGGGTGTCAGTCCCCGAGGGAACTGGCCACATTCCACCAGAGCCTCATTCTACACAGCAAACCAATAGGTAGGAGTTAGAAGCAGAAAACATAGATATTAAATTTTGGAAGTGTAGGCATGGTCGTCAAAAAATGTATTTAAGGAATTGCTAGACTCATAGAGTGGTTCATTTCTAATGAAGTCCAGAATTGTTACCTGCTGGCCTTCAGCAAGGTTGTTCATAGCGTACCTCAGGTACTTCCCAGTGGTTCAGGTGCAAATAATTTTGATTTTATAGGACCATCTCAACAAAAATACAGCATGCAAACAAAAACCAACAAAGAATTGCAACTTAAATTATGAAACATGCAATTAGTATTTAAACAGGCTTCATATAATAGTGATTGGAAGATTTATATATATATTTTCCTTCATTTAAAAAAAAACAACCTATGGCATATGCACCAACAAGCTGATACTGTGAAGCAGTGTTACCAGTGAAATGTACAGCATCTACTTATGGAGGAGCAGAGGAACTTGTTTACTCCATATGCGTCCTAAAGGATGCTCATGTCTCCTAGAGAAACAGGAAGTTTATTTCAAGACTTTATAGACAAGCTATAGCAATGTCATCCATTTGCAAACAGTCAGTCAGCTTGTCATGTGTTAAGAGAATCAAGATCAACTAACTCCACCGACTTAACTGGATTTTTAAAACTACAATAGTGAGTTTTGGTCCGTTAGACCAAATGCACCTGAGGATAATTTTGCAATCCAGAAATCCTTTATGCTAATATGACTATTTTTTTTTCTCAATAGAGAAAAGAAGATTTCATCTTAGTTAAACTTCACTGTTTCTACAAAATTAAGGAAACAAGGGCTTTTTATAGGTCCTCGTAACTCATGGTAGCCTCAAGGAATCAAACATCACAGCTCAGGAAAGAAAAATACCATGTGATGAATAGTGAAAGTTCCTTATCTTTATTGCTGATCTCTGTTGTAAAATTTGTATCTCTTATTATAATTATTAATTTGTATGGTGGGAGCATGTAGAAACCTTGGCTAACATCAGGAACGCATTGTAGTGGATGTTGTCCAGGCAAGTCACTTTTCTGAAATAGCTGCACCGGTTTCAAGCCTTACCTCCTGTAAACTGTTCTTTGCTGTGGAGGATGAAGTGAACCTCTTTTACTTTGATTTGAAACTCAGTTACTACCTCTCAGCTGAGGGGGCTGTAACCCAGAGAGAGTATTTAGAGTGTGCCCTGTAGGCTGGATAAGAGAGCTTGGTCTTAGCATGCTTCCTGTTGCTTTGCAGTTGTTTGTTTTTAAGAACACGGAGTATTTGCAAAGTAAAATACAATGGATGCTTCAGTCTCATGGTCCCCTGTCATGGGAATGTGTTTGCCTCACATATGTGTTGAAGAACCTCAGATTTCTCTAGATATTGATGTGTTAGTTGCAGGTGCTCTATTATCCATGCGGATGGAAAAGAGTCTCCATGATAAAGGTGGAATACCTCTTGGAGCTGTTTAAATGAGAGAACTCTTTACCTCCAAGTTCATAGACATGAACTCGTGTCATTTCCAGGTAGAGCGGAGGGTGCTGCAGTAACATTGTTTCTGACTGTGATGTTTGTGGAGAGCACCAAACCAAAAGCTGTGTTTTAGCGATCTCCACTCATCTATGAGCAGGAGAACACTTACCCATTTGAGCACATACTTGCTACATACAGCTACCAAGTGTTTACCATACTACCCACGTTGGGTACATGTTTACATACCACAACTTTTGGGTTACAGAAATCACAGCAAAACTTCTGGAACCCAAGTGAAAGGTTTTGCTAAAAGCAATCGCCTTTTAAGTTAAGCAGGTACCTTTTACTGGAATTGTAATTCTACCAGTAAAAATAGACAGCATCTTATATGTGCCTTTACATTAAAAACAATAAATCAAAATCTGATTTAAATGTATGGTAATATTTTCTTTTGACTGTGTATGCTTTTGTCACTTTAAGCTCAGAGAGAAGGTGATATTATCCTCTAGAAGTGTAATCATGGCCCTGCTCCTGAGCAAAATTTACCTCATTAAATTCAAGTATTTTCCTGGCAGAATTACACATTACATTGTTCAGATTGTTTACGTATAGGCCTGTTTACTAATATGCTTACACCCTGTTAAATAAAGCCTTGTTTGTTGAAAAGATACCTGGAAATTTTTGTATTAAACTTCAGTGTCCATAGAACTTACCTGCCACTGTGTACAAACTACACCTTTGCACGTGTATTCAGATACAGCCAGTAACAGTTTACTCTGCCCTGGATCATATCTTTGCATTGGCAGGCTGCTCTTTGTCCTATTGTGGGTTCGTTGGGTTGGTTTTGTGTTTTGGTTTTTTTTCCTTATTGTCTTGAATTCCAGTGATGTTTACAGAATCTTTCAGTCTATCTCAGACCCTTTTCAACTATGACATCTCAGATACCTACAGTAACACTTATTATGGAGCTTGTAAATGTGATACATCGTTAATGTGATTTCTCTCTTTTCCCCATAACTAAAGAAATGCAAAACAAATTATTAGTGGCAGCACTACTTTGTAAAATTACAGTGAACTGGGTTTGTAGTGAGAAATGTACTGTAACTATCTATTGTAAATTAAGAAACATAGATACATATAATAAATAGGAAATGTAAATGTCCTGTGGTTGTGTGATTGAGCTTCTCAAACAGTAGCAACTGCTATGCGTGACACAAGATTTTCAGAGCCAACCAGCTTGATGTAGTTATAAGTACTACTATGGTCATTAAAGAGCAAAATCAAGATTCATAATTGTATATAAACACCTGTATCTTCCCTTTTCTGAGTCTTTATAGCTTGTGTGTGTATATGCCCTGTACAATTTTGCGTAACGCAACTCAGTGACCAGAATGCATGATTAATATCAAGTTTGTTTCTCTGTGAGCTTTTAAACAGTTAATTTCCTTTTGTTCTGTTATGCACGTCACTCTGCATGCTTTTTCTAATGGTTTTGCCTCACTGTAATTTCCTTGTTAGGGTGCTGAGAGAAAAGAGTAAGATAATTGGGGCTCTGTTTTGAAACATAGAATGATAGTAACAGATAATAGACTTTCTACCGAAGTGTATGATGAGCTTCTGTTTAACCAAGTTTCAATATTTTGTGTACCATTCCTACTGCATTGTGCCTGTTGTAACAACCCTGAACTGGTACCCACAGCACTTACGATAGTTTTCCTCTGGATTGTCCTGTGAAGTACCAGTGTTGCCATAGGCTGCAGTACACTGACAAGACAACCTTTGCCATCCATCTGCCAGTGCCCGTTAATCTTCATGAGATGTCAGGTTACCACTGTGCTGACTGGTCAGCCATGACTCTTCGCTTTAATTCAAACTGAGTTACAGCTCTTCACAAAAGGAAGTTTATTGTATAGCATACGCTGCACTGGAAGCGTACTGGTCCCTGAAGCAGAACAAATTTCATTCCAAGTGTGACCAGAAATTGGCAAATTAATCCTCAGCATATGTCACCTTACGTGCCAATGTCTGAGGAGCTGGAGAGGGAACAGTTTCCTTAAAATCCCTTTTAAATTAAGGGGTTGTGGCAGTTGTCACATTTTTTCATTTAAAAATGCCTTCATCCAAATTACATTCTCTAGAAAAGCTACATTTTAAAATGGATTTTCAACTTGAAATATGAAACAAAATGTTATAGTGATACCTACAAGTTCTCTACTCTAAAGCAACCAGAGTTTAAGGAAAAAGGAACAGGAGCTGGACATGAGTTGCAGTGTTTGAGAAGATGGAGGATATTTAGATAAATACAAAGCTATGGTTTTTGAAGAAAACAGACACAAATATTCAAAGTATAATTAGTCATCACACCTTGTTAATGATATACATGCACCTGGCTCAAAAGCAGGCTTTGCATGCTAGAACCCAGAATCTGTACAAGCTCTAAAGACGCCTCGTTCCACATGAGGGCAGCTGTGTAGCACTGGAGGGGATGTGGGTCTTCCCTCACATATGGGGGAGTACCTGAGCATGCAATTTCCAGGCTACAGTTTAAAAAAGGGCAGACATAAAGATTTGTGCAGAGTGGAGAGGGCAAAGTCTCGCTCAGTTTGGGGGCTATTAGAGAAGGGCTGGTAAGACTCCAGATGGCCTTTGGGTTGGTGCTTTACATCGCCTCATTGAACAGGTAACACTAGAGCAGAATATGCATTTGGTTCTTTATTAGAGGAACATCAGGAAGATAACTTAAAATCTCAGGGAAAGGTCTGGCTGGTGAACACAGCAAGAGTCCTCTGGGAGAGGATGCAATGGTTACTGCTAGAAGTCCTCATATTTTCCAGAAGGAACATATAAACATAAGAGCAGTCTCAGAAAAAAAGAGTGGTCTCAGAAAAAGAAATGAGCATGTGTTTTCACAATTACATTTGTCTTGATAATTTCCTGTCAACAAGATACATGGAAGATCACTGTTTATAATAAGAGGACACTCTTATTTTCATGTCTTTATTCTGTGTAGGTTATAGAGGACAGAAAGGGGAAAGAGGCGAGCCTGGGATTGGACTGCCTGGTGACCCTGGACCACCCGGCCTTTCAGGTACAAGTCTCCAGATTTATTTCTGCTGTTGTTATTTATGAACGAACAGGCCTTTCTCCTGGTTCACATGCCAGTTTTACGCCAGTCCCTTTCCTCCCACGGTTGGTCATAGCGTGAGGTCAGACCCCCCCCTGTGCCTCCTCACGATGAGCTGGCGTGCAGCTGACTGTCAGTGATGAAACACGGGCACTGCACCTGCTCTGGCGAGGACTCTGCTAATTCTGACTTTGTTTTACCAGCTACTGGCCTGCCTGGCCCGCCGGGAGCACCAGGCTCACCTGGACCGCAGGGGCCACCTGGACCCAACGGGAGATGCAACCCTGCAGATTGCTATTACCACATATCACAGACTCGGTCACGCACCAGTGGGAAATAAAAACCCTCTCCCCTAGACACTTGGGTTCACAGTCACTTGTCACTCCTCTCAGTGAGTTAATTTAACCTTTGAAATATTTGGTGCATTTTTTTTCCCTCGACACTGCATGGCGTATAGACAATTTATAAGGCACAGGATTGAGCCTTTCTGTATGTTATTTGCAGTGTCATAATTATGAAATGACATATATTTTCCAGAGTGCATTCCATGTGTTATGTTTCTCATATTTATTTTGCTTAGAGGAGAAAATAGACCCAAATAGTTTTCATAAGCTTCCTTCAAACAAAAAATATTTTATCATAACTTAAGACAGTATGTAAGCTGGCTTTATTTTTCTTGCTGGTGATGAAGTTTAAATGGAGAAAAAGCATTTCTGAAGTTTTAAAGTGTGCCTGTTCACGGCAAATGCAAGAGCTGAGCTGGAGCACTGGGAATTCTGTTTAGACTAAATGTTTGTGTCCCTCGAGAAGGCTCCGGCACACCATCTGAGTCGGGTCTGCATCAGGCACCACGAACGCTACCCACCATTTCAGTCACTTCCTAGATGTCAAAGAAGGAAACGAAGATGTGTTTCTGATCTCTGGTCCCATCCAACGTTTCACTTCAGACTGACTGGAAATTTGCCGGGTGTAGCCCTGAGAAGTGTCTCTCCTGACTGGATGTTGTCCCAGCTGAGGGCTTGTACGTTTGTATAGTCATGATTACCTGTACTCCAGATACTAAACTGCTAGGGGCTGGTATTGGATGTTCCCAACTGAGAGCTGGCATGTCTTCTAACCATTACATCAACTTAGCAACTGTAGTATCATTGCCTGTAATCAAGCTACTTTGCCGTTATGTCTACTTACAGCAAAGACAACCCCTTGCTTTAGAGCAGGGGGTGATGGGTACACAGTCAGACAGTCAAAGAAGGAACTTTGCAAGCCTCTAATCTTACAAATGGCAGAGTTTTTCTTCTTCCTCCTGCAATAATTGTGTGCCAAAATAAACTTGAGAACAAGGTGGAAACAGTAGAATGCAAAACTCATAGGACCTAATAACTGGTTGCAAAAAAAATTGAGCTCAAGATAAATTTGGCAAAGTTACAAAACCCTCCTTGGAAAGGTGTACTGCAGAGAGCGTGACTGCATGCAGCTTGCAGGCATTGAGTAAATCCTACAGGACCAGACATTGTCAGTAAAGAACAAAACAGAACAAAGTGTAAATCCTGTGGAGCTCAAAGGATTGAGCAAAAGAGAAGATGGAGAAAATAAATCGTACAGAGGCAGATTCTTAAAAGGAGGGAGGAGGGTTAGCTGAATTTTCACTCTTGGTTATTAGGAAACAGTTGATCCTAGATTAGTCCTACGGAGTTTGCTACAGTGCAATAGAAAGTGAAGGTGCTATTGAGAGAACATGGACAGCTATAAACCACAACCTCAAAATAAATCTGTAGTACAAAAGCTGTACTGAGGGCTCCTGCCCTGCTGTTAGGAAGTCAGTTGTTCTCTCCCATGTCAGGCAGGAAAATGGTTTTGGTGACTTTGTGTTTGAGCAGCACTGAGCTGCCAGGGAAGCGTTCCCAAATTGGAAGTGCTGGGTTCCAGAGAAGCTGTTGTGAGACATGAATCTAGCAGACGTATGGGTTTTCCTTTTAAAAAGTAAGGATTGAATGGTGGGGGTCTTTTGAAAAAAACAAAACACGTTGGAGTTTGTTCTGAATAGAGTTCCTAGCACTTGCACCCGCACCGGAGCAAGAGGTAACAGAGTGACCCCGGGTAGCTGGGGAGCAGAGGCAGCCTTAGGCACGCTTTCTGAGAGAGAAAGCACACCCGAAGAGCCATGTTGAAGTAAGCGCAGAGATCGAAGGCTGAGAGTAAACACCTGGGACAGGAGAGGGCAGCAGGCAGGAGGATGGCAGAAACCTGTGGTGTACCATGAAACCATCCCCTTCAGGGGATCTGCTGTAATATGCCTGCAGCTGGGGACCCCTCAGTGGGGGTCAGGGTGCTTTGTCTGGCCATCCTGAGGATGGGGATAGGCAGGGCAAAGGCACAGTCCTTCCACCTCCTTTCCTGCTCATCCCTCACTGTCCCTTGGGAGGCAATAACTGCCCTTTCTCTAGGCCCACACGTTCCTTGCTCTGCGGGCGGTGGGCGCCCATCCCGCTGGGGGGAAGGTGCATTTGGAACAAGTGGTCCTGCCTGTGCTTAGCTCAAAGCACGCTGCTCCCGTCCCAGCCCTCGCGCGCCTGTGGAACTGGAACACATCTTGGCTTGCTCTGCGGTGTTGGCCGCCTTTCCAGATCCGGTCCTCACAGCGCCGTAGCTGTGTGTACGCAGGGAACTGGCGAGGCAGCTGGAAACCAAGCGCTTGTTCCTTCTGAGGCGCCTGCCGCCCTCCGGCCACAGGTCTGCCAGCCCCACAGGGAGAGCCAGGGCCTTATGCCAGCGTGTCTGCGGGCGCGCGCGCCAGCGGAGGAACGGGCCCACCTACTGTTTTCCATTCAGTCAAATGAACTGCTGGTCAGGTATCTTGCATGGACATTTTTTTCATTGATTTCTTTTTACTTCTCTAGTAATTCCAATATATGTAAAAAATCTAAATATTTTTTTACTTTGTAAGTTAATTTTAAACTTTGTTTTCTGTGATAATATCGATAAGGGTGCTGTCTTGTAAAGAGTATCCGCTGACCGAGAGGTTTGCAAGCAGCCCCCTCCTGGAAGGCTGTACATAGACCATTGCGCCGCCTTAGTGGTATGTGTATATTTTGGGGCTTTTAGCCGACTGAAAGTGAGCATCTGTTATTTGCTGGATGCAATTGCTGTATGTTTATTTACTTGAACTTAGCGGATAGCAGAACACTTTTTATATTTGAAGAAGTTTTATTTTTTCATCTATGTTTCCTACGGATGCCTTTTTCTTTTTATAGACTCAAATCTAAAGGTCTTTTTAAAAAGTGTTTGAACACTTTCAGTTGATTTGCAGGTAACTTTGATAATTATCTCGTTGCATTACTTTTTATTTTGCTAAAAGCCCACTTTAATTTTCTCTTATGAGAAAACAGGTATTTTTTTATACGGGCTGTCTTGATACCTTTTTAAAAATGCCGTGTTCTTCACTGGGGTAGAACAGAGTTAATCTCAGCTTAACTTTACTTCACACTGCCTTGCTCCTACTCCATATTTTCAGAATTGAAAGCAGAATGTAGCTGGAAATGTGCTTCTGCACAGTTTTCAGGTTTGGCCCCTGAAATTTCTTTGCAGTTTCAGACTGATGTGGTCTTAGTTTTTGGGAAGGGGGCCGGGGAGGGCAAAGGGGTACTCATCTATTTTGCAGTTCACTTTGTCAATTTCCTATCTGTTTTGAGCAGTCTGTGCTGCAGTAAGAATTGCAAGGAACTAAACATGGAGAATTTTTTTTTTTCCAGTAGCATAAGATCTTTTTCTGATTTGGGAATGTTTACATACAATAGGACTTTGAACTGAAATATCTTTGACAAAATGTTTTAAACCTTTCTTAAAGGCTCTCTAAGCTTTGTTCTAGTTCAGGGTCAGACGATTATATTTTATGGCAAGTTGCTTTATCACCTACTAAGAACGTGTTAGGATTTTCCTCAAATAGTTATGTATAGAACTACTCAGTTTGCCTAAAGAAAGTAATAAACTTTTCTGAGGCTGCATCATCCCTCCTTTTGTCCACACGGTGGAGTTCAAAACATCTTTTCAGGACAAAAGATAAAGCCCAGGCTGAGCTTGCTCTGCAGCACAAGAAATGACCCAGCGCTGCAGGGACTCACAGCACGAGTCAGTGTTTCTGATTTTGTTCTAGAGACTGCTTGGTTTTTTTTCACCCCCCCCTAAACTCCATTTAGCTTTGCATGGTAGTGTTTGCAGAAATACTGCCTTTCTTGGAGAATTATTTTCAGGTAGTGTTCTTAGATTTTCTTTTTGTTTTGTATATATATATGCACGTTATAGAAGAACATGCAGTAGCAGGACATCCCGCTTTCAGGCGTAATTTCTGTCCGCTGTAATGATGTTTGTCTCTAGGAGAGCAGGGAGTCTGCTAAGGTTAATAAAAATTACAGCACACTTTGTACGATCGCATGACAGTGCAGCCTACTTAGTAGCGTTTTAGGAACCAATATTTTTGTCTTAAACTGGATTTGGTTTCAATGCTAAAAGAGCACTGTGATACAGAAACAGGATTGATTGTATCATCCATCCTCCCTTTATGTTTTCTGATTGTGGATTATGACAGGTGTTAGATATGCACAGCTTTGTTAAATACGCATATTTTTTAAATTAATGGATAATCACACAAAATATTTTGGCACTTCTTTTTCACAGGTGTGAAATACTTTTTTTCGTGTCAGCATACACTCAACTTTTTTCTTCTTTTTCTGTAATGTTTACATAAAAGTCTTATAAAAACCCCACAGGCTGAACTAGCATTTTATAAACTTGTTTCTCCAAATATACTGTGTAAGGCCACCCCCTAACCTTGCATTTTACCAATGCAGTAGAACTGCTGCTCTAACATGAACATTAGAACGTGAGAAGTATCTCAGGAATCAGAACAACGTCAGTTCGGGGGCGGGGGGTTAATCGTGTTTTTGTTAGATTCTGGATTTACTGAGTCATATACATTTTCCTTGAAATCTGTTATGTCTGTTACCACTAGATTTTACAGGATGGATGTTTGCATCCACCTGCATATATGTAGCTGGGTGTAGGCCATGGAGAACAAGTTTAACTGAGATCTTGCCTTGGTTGGTGTTTAAGTGGAAAACTCAAGCTTCATGATACCTTAAGGAAATGTGGTTTTCAAATATTAATTGCTAACAAATGTTACAGGTTCTAGACCAAAATAAGTTTGTAGCTAAAAAGAATGTAATCTACATGTCTTTTAGGAGTTTTATCTCTGAGTCTGCTGTTCTACAAACAGGAATGCATTTAATTATTTACTGAAGTTTCAATGTAAATTTATTCGGTCTCCAGGCAATGTATTTGAAGGATTATCAATGTCATACCTTCTTTTATTATTTTCTTTCATTTCTGAATGATATGCAGCTGTCACTGAATGAATTGTAGTACATATTGACTGGTTGCTTCTTTCCTGCATTATTTGGTTTCAACATTTAAGGTTTGATTCAATGGAAATGTATTAAGTGGATAGATAGAAAACTGCTTTTCACAATATTATGTGGCCATTTACATCTGAAATAGGATTCCAAATGGAAATGAAAATGTTTCACATACTTTTTTGTATGTGATTCTGTCAGAACTGACAACCTTCCTTCCATGTTGAACCATGAGAGGAAGGATACAACTCCAAATGAGAGAAAGAAGAGGCGCAAAGCCACCGCAGCGAGCCCCATGGAGCATTCGGCAC